ATTGTTTTACATTTATATAATGTTGTAACAATACAGAAATTCAGACTGAGTTATTTTCGCTAAAATTTCGAAGTGCCAAAATTATTCCAATTTTACATTGCTAGACTCAAGAACTAAGATTAAGAGCCCTTGAACTTCTTAAAAAACGAGGCAGTCTTTAGGGTTCAATTAGATATAACATGTCTGCTATGCAAAGAACAGTATGCAGATGTGTTCTAGAAAATACCTTTACTTCGTGGGCTTATACTCGTAGTTCGTTTTTCCACCTTAGTGGGAGAAAGTTTTATAGTACATTTTTCTCTATGAAACTTAGCTAGTAAGGCTTTTATCATCGCCACTCATAACAAAGGGACTCTAAGAAAAAATATATGGAAAAGAGTATGCATTGTGGATACACCAATGACTTTTGACCTTTTGAAAAACAGCATATGAAATATCATCTTAATATGTCAATCTAATTCAGCAAAACCTACCTTCCGCGCAATAATTACAGATTCCAATAATAAGTGATACACACACTGACGCGATTTGATAAACATTACAAGAACGTGCATAGACTGCGGAACCGGTCTGCGCGCGCGCAGTGTCGTCATCGTTATAACGATTCTCTATCTATGCGTCATTCCAATTTTCCAATTTTTTTTTCAATGACGTCGGGTTTTTTAAAGCTTCTTTTGTTGTTTAATCAATCATCGGGAAATCACATTTGCCCGAGTAATCAAGGACGGGGTCAGCAAAGGTCACATGATATCGGCTGATTGCGTAATGATTTTTTGCGCGCGCGCAAGTGTACGATAGTAATAGTTATTACGAATGATGCGCGGCCACCATTTTCCTTATTATGACATATATCATTGCGCCATCCAATTAGTGTCAATATTAGATAATGTGTATTAATGATTCATATCAACATGTTCGTTTGAAGGGTATTGACATTTTTTTTACCTTTAAGATGTTCTTCTTTAACTTACTTCGATCTACCGAAGATGGTTAAATAATATTGTACAGTAAATATATATGTATAGTATGTCGTTTGTTCTGAACAGGAGATTGAACTTGTTTTTCCTTTTATTAAATGTATAGGTGTGACACGTCACGCTTAGTACGTACTGTAGGTCGGTGTGTATGTGATACGTACTTTGAGATGATAAACACAAGTAGAAGCGTTTTAGTGACCTTAAAGTTATTTTGTGTTGTGACTAACTATGATGTTTATTTTTAATTTCTTCTGGAAATTTTATTTTTAGTTTTTTTTTTTTTTATAATTGTATTAATTGGATTGACGTGTTGACGGTTGCACTTGGCTAGACAATATGAAAATTAGCGGCATAATATTGTTTGTCACTGAAAGATAAGTGAGACAGAGACTGGAATGTATTTACCGCACATAAAATATACAAGCCTAAATGTTGAGGATGAAGGTTCGAAACCTGGCAAGTAAAAATGTTTTCTATGATTTTTTTGACAACACTAAAATACGGTGAAGCGATCTCAACGAAACCTAGACTAATAATTTCGAATTACTAGTTTCAAATCGCCAATCCGCCTTGAGCAAACGTGGTAATTAATGCTCAAACTTCGCCGTGTGAGAAGAGGCCTTTCCTCAGTAGTGGGCACTTGTAGACTGGTGATGATGATAAGCCCAAGGCACACAAACTAAGCCTCTTCGTTTCACTTCTAATTTCATTGACAGCATAAGTCAACACAACTGACACTTACATATCCATCTTTTTTTTTCTTGAATGGCAATGATGTTATCGTGTATACTGCCAGTGTCATGACCATAGCTTATCTATCCGTACATTTCAATCAAGTTTACTGTCATTCACCACCTTTGCAAACGTCAATATTTATAACAAGATGATACTTTTACATTCCTTGTTGACCGTTAGGATGTGATTGACTTGAGTTTTTTGATTCGAATTTCGAAATCGGTTTTGTATGAGTGTTTCAAGTCAGCTCTAGTTGTTGGTATTGTTAGAATTTTCAGTTTAATTAATTTATTCATAAAAAAACAATACAATCCATTAATCCAACGAAAGAAATTTGTGACGGTAAAAAATATCGGGAGGCCTCTTTATGAGGGGGATATCATTAAATCACTTCTCCCGTAATGTGGTAACAGGGGGAGTCAGATGACTGACTAAAATCCACCTCGTTTCTTCTCTTGTTACGAGGTGGGACCGCTGTATCTACATCATTGCCTCTTCATCCGCAAACACGACTGGGAATCGGCAGTCCCTACAATTTTATTTTATTGAGGACTGTCGCTTTATCTTCAAATCGCTAACTATGGAAAATAAAACTTATTTTTTCTCATGTAAGGTTTGAATTTATTGATATCTTACTACAGAACCTAAAAACAATAACGTTGACAATAAAATCAGTAATCCATTTATTAGACAGGCGGTGCGCAAATCACGGCGGTCGGCGGCGTTGAGCGCCAGATTAACCAATTATTATGCGGCCGTACTACACTACTGATACATACATACAGACATACAGACTTATATATGTACATATATATGTTTAGCTATACCAATCAGACACCACTTACTAATGCTCTGTCAATTTGTACAATGTAAGTTGTATTGCCGAATTAATTTTGGCTTTTAAACTTTTTAAAATAGACGGTGTCTTATCGACTTTTGAACCAGACCTATATTCATGTTTACAATACACCTACATTAAATTTATGGCTATACTTATATTATATATCTTGGTGTGGATCTCTTAAATTCAAATTTTGTAAAAATAATGTTTTGTACCTGGATAAGTTTCAGAGACAAATCACCTATTTCCATTAGACGGTCAAGACTTTTGGAGGCCAATAAAAGATTGACATAAAAAATGAGTCTGTCAAATGTCTGTTTCGTAGGAAAGCTATTTGCTCGTTCTAAAGTATGGACTTTGTTGGAGAAACTCCATGGTTACTTTCGTTAAGCAGATTCTTTGTTACAACATTAAGTTGGTTCCATTTTGTGAGAACAGTGTAACACATTAGTAAAAGAAACCAGAAAATAAAAATCGTTAATGAACAGTTTTCATCTGTTTATGTTTACAAAACAAATCTATAACCATCGAGAACATTTAGCAGCTAAGTCTCTGACTTCTAAAAATATCGCAAAAAAGTTCGAATTACCATAACTGGACTCCTATTTATAATTCGCATGGAAACACCCGAATCAATTGCACAATATTTGTACTATATAAAACAAACATTATCAAGATAATATTCTGAGAAATGTGTTAGGAAGTATGTATGGATTTTCTTACCGGTTTTTCTACATTACAGTCAAATATTTGGAACTTTGAACTTGACCTTAGTAAGTGGTTATTCACACTAAATACTTGATGTAGTTAGTTTGGTTTGTAAGTATACATTATTGGAACTGGTCTACGAGTCATACGGCGTTCGCATGAGACGTGTTGGCGTCACGGCGTTGAACTAACAAGTATTCGGACTTCAAAGTTCATAATAATATTTATGCTTTGTGAACTTTGTGTTCTTGATACTTGTTATTGTTTTTCTATTCTTTTCTTTACTTGGTTGGAGTCAACCTTGAATTGTATTAAGGTTGTGCTTATTTTTATTAAAAATTCTGAACTTTGACCTGCAGTCAATTAGGTAAACAGGTCGCATTATGTTAATAACCTTTGTTATAATTAAGATTTTTTATTGACAGTGTAATTATATATAATACTTATAAGGATTTTTTTGTAAGGACAAAATCATCAAATGACTTCTCCCGCCCAGGGTGGGGCGGCAGGGAGTGTCAGACTCTACTGACTAAAACACCTCCCGTTCCTTCTCCTGCTCTGGGCCGAGGTTGCGGTGCTTTAATGCGCTTACCGCGCAACCTCGGCTGAATAATATAACGGCAAATAGCGTAGTACTTACCGATCTACCTACTTATATTTTTTATTATTTCAACTTGCGAACAATGGTCAAATATTGAATCATTAATCAATGTGTGGGTGGGACGTACTACATGCTGATTGAATTAAACAAAAAAATAATCTATAATAGCTTTTTGAAAAAAAATTACGCGTGAAGATGTAATTCGTACTAATTCGTATGATGTAAGCTTAGTTACTTATGTAATGTTTTGTTTGAATTTTGTATTGAAGAATAATTTTGATTAGATCGGTATTTCCTTACATTAAGTTTTAAAGTTGATGGGTTTTTCATTGGAAGCTCTATTGATAATATTTTCGGAAAAATATCGCACGACACTTCAAGATGGTGTTCGTAGAAATAACTTGAACTTAATTTTTTTTTTCGAGAGCACATTCTGTATACCAATGGTAAAACTATTGAGGTTTTTCCATTTTTCATTTTGTATTCCGAGTTTTATTTGATGGAGCTTTTGAAGAACTGGTTTAAGAATTTAAGAACTATTTATTTATTAAAAAAATACATATACAAGAAAATTTACATATACAAGATTACAGCTTACGCCATTAAGTTATATTGTTAATTTTATATAAATACTATTATCTAGGTACTTAAAAAACTAATTAGGATTAAAAACAAGAAAAACAACACAAATAGAAAAAGAATGTGTCGTATGTCAAGTGAGTCTTCAGTATATGGCAATAGGCTTACGTGATTTAAAAAAAAATATCTATAGAAGTCTAGCAACTTAATATTCTTACTTATATTTGCTTAGATATCTGTCAGTTATAAAAACATTTGAAAAAAAAATGAGTGGTTTCTGAAGTGGCGTTTCAAGTGATCAAGACAGATACTAACTAATACTAACTGCTGTTGACAAGCCTTTATTTCCGTTTCTAAGAATTAGCGAAAAACCAAGATTGTTTGCATGTTGAAAAAAATAACATAGATTTCTAGTTTTGATTTATTCCGTCACTTAGACTAAAATGGGTCATTCCAAAACACCTATCCTGGTTATTGAGTTACCATACATATAAGTGAGCAGTCATTTCTTTTATCCTAAACAAATAAAAAAAACATAAAATTAAAAAAAAGGCCTCACCTCTCCCGCTTCTCCCGACGAACCTCAAGTCATTAAACTTGGCAACCCTATTCTTCATCACCGCCGAATTGTTTCTAAGTTCCGCGGAGCAGTTCTCGTCGTTGCCAGCCCTGACAGTGACCAGGGTACCGTCGAGAACTTCACCTAGGGCCACGACCTTGAACCCTCCCGGTAGGGTCTTGTTCGACCTCCAGTGTTGAGGCAGCATTGAGCACATGTAGTCTGGACTGCCCGTTCTTACTGTCAACAAAAAAAAAATATTTATTTATTTCGGTTTCTGAATTTGGTTACCATTTTGGCATTCTGAATACCAAAGAGATTTGGAGACACGGCAAAAGTGCTTGAAGAATGAATACTGCGGACCTCTTGTTCGCATAGCTCTTGTTCAATAGTTTGTTAAACATGTAACTATATTTTGGTTATTCTTTTAGTTATTATTCGTCGGAAAGCGTGAGTTCCTGAATGAAGACTAACATAAGATATAAGGTGATATATACAAGGATGTTTTACCAACACATGTAACATGTAATTGTTCTTTTTACTATCAATACCAGCAACCGTGACGTTGTTCAACCATGACGTAAACACGGGTGTATATTGCTGTTCAGCTCGTAATTACAAACGTCTATGGTCATACGTCATCGTGTTAAAAGCAAGAGCTTGTGACGTAGGATTCTAGGAATCGGCTGCGCTGTCGAATCTTGCCATGTCGAGGAGCTTGGTTAATTAACATACAGACTATAATAAAGTATACATACAATATTATTAAACGCTTATTTTTAAACTATGCAGGATGCTATTTGTGTACTTACTTACATATATACTTTTTTCGTAGCAGATCAAATTCAGAGTTTAGTTTCTTTCACCGTGTAAATTTGTTAATGTTTTCAACTTTATCGCTTTAGTAATAAAATTGAAAGTCCTATAACAGAAATAATGGTTTGATGTGCTAGCCCGATGGAGGAGTCAACGTCCGATAAACGAGAGAAAATGATTGAAACAATTTTATTAGTCATATGATCATGAATAAATGTACATGTTTATATACTCTGTAATGTTTATGCATTTCTATACATAAGTATTCTTACTTAAGGGCTGATTTTTCAATAGTCAGATAAATGTTATCTGAGGAATAAAATTGTTGCTGTCACTGTCTTATACAAACATTCTGACGCGACAGCATCATAATCATTCCCCAGATAACTTTATCAAACCATTGAAAAATCCGCCTTAAATCATATTATTTTAGTCTACTGTTGGCTTAACAATATTCTTTTCTACATTCTTCAGTTATTCTATCAGAAACATAGACAAACACAGGTCAATATTGTAAATCAACTGTTGTTACTTCTTGAATCCTCATGCAGTTTTACAAATTATACCGTTTGTCCTATACGTTTCAAATTAGCTAATAATACAGTTTAATTAACTAACTTCCTTCGTAGCCTCATCAGTTATACGTCAACAGTAACGAAATGATAAATATTAGTTAAACATATATGACAGTAACTTAGTACCGTATCAGGTCCGGATTAACCAAGTTTTTTTAAATCATATAAACTACTGCTTGACTGCAATCCCACCTGATGGTAAGCAGGGATGCAATAGTTGATGGTAAGGAGCACTAGTTTATTAAGAGTCTATTCACTCTAGCGTTGTTAGGTATGATTTAGGTGTGTTCACATCTCGATCATAAGTATTTTTTTATAAATTACTAGCTTTTGCCCGCGACTCCGTACGCGTGGAATAGTGACATCCGGTAATTTTTTTTGGTATAAAAACTATCCTATGTCGTTGCTCAAGTTCCGAACTGTATCTGTACCAAATTTCACAGAAATCGGTTCCGTAGTTTAGGCGTGAAGAAAAGACAGACAGTCAGAGTTACGTGGAGTTAATTTCGCATTTATAATATTAAGTTTGGAAGTTTGGATAATATACGATTTTAAGATATTTATTGATGGAAGAAAGTTTAAGCCCGCTTGAAGGTAGGACATTGTTATTTTAACGTTTTCTATAAAATTATAAAATTATTTTTTGATAAAAAGAGGTTATCTTCGTGGCTTAGGGGCCCGGACAAGAGTTGCCTATTGGTTAATCCGTCCCTGTACAACACAAACTGTTATCATACGGCTGGTCGCCGACTAATTGTAACGCTTCGTCCATAAAAATATTAGATTGTACAAGGAAAAACAGTTATTTATAACTAAATGTAATGACTACGTATAAGCTGTATTCAGTTTTTAATGTTGTATAATTTACAATGTGGTTTTAATCATTAAGTTTGGCGAGAATGACCTGAATCTCTTTTGTAATGATGACGATGGATATCCGACGTCGATGATTTGACGTTTCGAATCGATTCGTAACGATTTCATATCGAGTAAGTAGGTGTGATTACACTAAAGCGACATTTTGCTTGTCAGGATTGGAGATAACATGTTAATTACCTCCAAAATCAATATTCTGCGGGAATGTGTGATCATAATTTTTTATTTGCGTGTCATATTTAGCTTGGGTTTTTGAACAACTAATTACCTATATTAAATTAATATATGCTGTTAATATGTGAAGACGCGTTGAGATTAATTAAAGGATAAGTTTATTGGAAAAATATGTTTTTAATTAATATAATAACTACAGGATTTCAGGTAGTGATTAAGCAATAAGATACTCTTGGGTAGTAGGTAGTAGGTAATAATCCATGAAATTCAAAGTAAGACTGTTTTAATCTTACTTCAGTATGGGTAAGAGACAGAGCTAGACCACTGGTATAGCTCTATAGTCCCACTTATATTTATGGGACTAACAAACCATGTAAATATGCAACGCAAAAAAAGTATACACACTCAGGACGCAATCACACCGCTATCTTTGCGTGGAATCTCAAAAAATCATGAAGTAACGGTTTGAGAAATCATAAAAAGATTAACAGTGTAAATGTGGTTTTAGTATTTACGGAAACTGATGGTGTATAGGAATTATGGAGCCACAAACTGCGGGTTAGATGCGGTCGAAGAGTCGGGAAGGGTTACTGGCGGGATTCAGCTTGTGTCGAAGTAATTTAAGTTGATTTAATTTGAAGTTAGGGACAATCATACTAAAATGGTTGATGGAATATATTAAAAAAAGCAAGCCAGCAAAACACATTAAAATCTGAAATCGGAAACTATAGAAATTCTCAAAGATCAGTTGATAAAAAAAAGGCAATCAATCTTACAAATATTATAAACGCTAAAGTTTCTAAGTATTGAGTAATTCACATCCATCGCTTGGAAGGGTGTTTATTAGCCTTTCACGTGAAAACTACTTTAAGGATTTTCATGAAAACTGGCACATAGTAAGGTTATGTACATAGAATAACATATAGGCTACTTTTTCTTCAGTTAATACAGGCAATCTAGTTAATAAATACAACATGATTTTGTAATGTCTTCTATTAATTCCATTGGAATGAGTCAGACATAATTAATTTTTACAACGTAGCAACTTAATAATAGGCATTTAAAAAACCGGAATTCTATTCTCACTTTTATCTGAGAGCAACTAAATTGTAATAAATAAATAATTAATTTGTCATAAATAACTATCTGTTGCTAATGCATTGCTAAATTAATTAAGCATTTATTCACTAAGAAATAAAGTTTAATATCTATAGTTATTCTTTGTTTGGTGTACAAGGCATGTGTGTGTATACAAGGCAAAATTACGTTAATTACATTCAAATAAACAAATAAAATAAATTAAATGATGGGGAAAAATGACAATGTTGCCGTGTTCAAAAAGAGCTGCAGATGTTGTTACGTTAAATAAAGTTGCAAACGTAATTAACAGTTTGACTGATAAATACAAAAAAAAAACAACTAAACTACAATTCTCGCTGTATTCACAAATATTTATAAGCACGTATAGTACATAACATTTTTCCTCTGCAAGAAAAAGATGTAATTAATTCGTTACGTAAAGATGTAAAAAAATTGGATAATATAAAGCTGTTTAAATGCACAGTTGTTTCAGCATCTGCTGTACAACATTTAGGGAGTTCGATCCCTGTACTACGGGATAACTCTTTGTGCTATACAAAATTGGTTCCGGCGCTAAGTAAGTATAAAGTTTACGTGAAAAAAATATATTTGAAAATGCCCACTATTTACTTAGTAACAACATCCAAATGGGTGCCAATTTATTTATGAAATAAAAAAAAAACAAAGATAACATAATCTTCACATAACGTTGTATAAGTAACAAAACATTAAGACGAAGAATACTTGAAACTTTTTTTAGAGGTACACGAACGTGTATTCGCCCACAGTTACTCGCATCACAGTTAACGCACTTGCGTATGCAAATATTTGATTTCGATAAAATGAAGTTTTGTTATGTAAATTATAAAATTTGTGACGTGCCTGTTAAGCAAACATAATAAAGATAGTTTGAAGTCTCTTTTTTATGGTAAAGTTGGCAAACGAGCAGACGGATTACCCGATGGTAAGCAATTGACGCCGCCCATGGACACCCGCAACACCAAAGGAGTTACGAGTGCGTTGCCGGCCTTTTGGGGATAGGGGTTGGGGATATAAAAATCGGGAAGGGTTAGGGGGGGGGGGGAGGGATTGGGCCTCCGGTAACCTCACTCACACGGCGAAACACAACGCTGGGTTGTTTCACGCCGGTATTCTGTGAGGCCGTGGTATCACTCCGGTTGAGCCGACCCATTCGTGCCGAAGCTTGGCTCTCCCACACTTATCTCTCTCTCCTTGAAGTCCATTAAGTAGGATCAAGATGTCATAGTTTTTTTACTCATAAATTCCTAATTCGTTTTGTTTTTACAAATCCGTACGGATTACACTAGTACTTATCACGTCTATGGGCCATTACAGTCGAGTCAGCTGAGCGACGTCGGCGCGACGCGCACGCTGCTTTTGAATAAGCGTCCCGTTGTTACTGGAAACTAGTTGAGCGTTTGTCATTTATTTCACGTGAGTAATTTCAATAAACTTTGTATGTTTCACAACAGTTGAAAAATAACAGAGTATTTTTCAACTGTTATTGTGACTTAAAATAAGGTTAACATTTAATTGAGGGATAATTACAAAACGCTCAATATTTCTTTTTGGTCAAGAAGAAAAAAGAAATGTTAATCACTGTCTATGAATCAACAAAAGTCCTGCAAAAGCGTTTGATTTCCTTTCAATAAGCTAATTCCATAAAAATACTACTTAATAATTTTGAAACCGTCAACA